CCCCAAAACCCCAAAACCCCAAAACCCCAAAACCCCATAAAAAGAGTAAAAAATTTCAAATCATTATTATTTTTGATTAAGGTAAGCACCAGTTGGATTTCATGAAAGAAATTATCCTTGGAAGCCACTCCTTGGATCAATAGCCAGTCATTTTCCCTTCCTATACAGCTCGCATGGAATTTAATAAGAAGGCTACAATCTGGGCTTAAAATTTAATTAGAAGTCCATCAATAGATTTTTTTTAATTATTTTTATTGGATTAATTATTCCAAACTTTTATTCTTCAAATCTTCTTAAAAATGGAGCAAATTAAATTCTTTTCTTAAATTTTCCGATTCTGGCTCCTAAATATTAGATATGCGTAATTTGCAGAGGGAATGATGGTTGTTTTCCTTTTGGCCAGCGATGATTTGGAACTAAATCCTGAAATTTTAATATACACCCAAATAGACATAAATTAAACCTTCTATTGCGTATTGGACTTCTAATTAACATTTTTATTAAGGTTTATATTTCAGAAATTTGGAAATTTCATGCTCACTGTCGATTCAAATTGACAACCAAATTTTATCCAAATCGAGGTTATTCTAACAATCTTTGGTCCTAAATTGCCACCAAACGAGCTGAGATAAGTTCTGAGTTTAATGAGTAATTACATATAGATGTTGAACAACTTTTTATCAGGATTTTCAGATAGAGTGGCTGACTACTTATCAGATTCATTCAGGCAGAACCTCAGAACAAGCCTGGACAACTTCCTCGGAAACGACTGCGAAGATGAGGATGAGGTATTATCATAGACTTATTTTTAGAGTCCGCCTGGCCCTCCACCAGTGAATTTTCTAGTAAGCATGATGAGAGGTGAACAAGCGAATGGGAGAAGAATGCCAGACCCAGTTAGTGAAAGAGCACCTAGTGTAAATAGCAATAGAAATTCAAACGACTTCAATAGGGTAAGAAGGAATAACAGTCAAGGTGCACAAAGGGTAAGACAATCTAAGCCAATGGGACAACTCAATAAAAGATCAAATTCTTGCATCAAGAATAAAGATTTTGGAGAAAGAGAGAAGTGTTCTACATTCTCTAATCAACCTAGTGGAGCTCCACGTGAGGAAAGCAAAGAAGATCCTAAAATAGAGAAAGTTGAAGTTGGGCAAAATATTAGTGATCATAGAGAAGAAGTGCAACAGAGATATAAAGAAGTCACCCAGAATTGGATTATTGAACCTCACAAACTTGATCTTACTGATGATAATATCAAGGAAATGACAGAAACTTTTGATAAAGCTTGCTACGAACAAGAACAAGGTACTGAGTTCATCTCGCTTCTGCATTCTGTGCTTACAGGAACACCAAACTTTTCTAGTGATAAGATATGCAAACTGACTCTGAAGCTTCATGAGAGTTGTATCAAGAAGCAATTAGGAACTGACAGAGACAAAATGGCTTCAACACATCTTGAAGAATTGATTTCATTCCCTTCAAAAGAAAGCTTTGCTAAGCTTGAAGGCTACCTCTACTCTGCCAAACAAGAAGTCAAAATTTGAGTCTATTGGTTTTCGAGTCCAAGACTTTGGGGTGTCATTAAAACGCTCCTATACAAAGGCATCACTGTCAAACTGGTCACTGACCACGACTCAGGTGACAACTTCAAGAAGGAAGGGTTTACCCCAGAAGAACTGCAAGAGATCGCACCTAAGTTCACCCACAAGAAGCTACCAGTGCCGAGAGGGAGGAGGATGCACCACAAGTTTGTTATTATAGACAATAACATAGTGTTAAACGGGAGTTTCAACTGGACGAATGTGGCCGAGACTAAAAACTTTGAAAACATTGTTGCTACCACTTCAAAGCCTTTGATAGAGCAATTTACCTTGCTATTTAATGAAATATGGAACAAAGCAGTCCCATATCCAATGAATCTCTAATTTGTAAAAATATTACAAATTTTCAATTTTTTACCTTTTAATAGGGGTTTTGGGGTTTTGGGGTTTTGGGGTTTTGGGG